CTGCGAGAACACCGCTCCTGCACAACCCCACTGACCGTTGCGTCCACTGCCTCGTCCAGGAACGTGGAGACTGCGGAGACCGCAAACTGTGGTCTGTTAACTGACCCCTCGCCATATGGACCCTACTAGACCCTCAAGTGCACAATTGCTGGCCCACTACCTGAGAAATTCTACGGCGTCAAGTTTGACCCTTTTCAGCTCATCAAAGATCTTTAAGGCCAAGTCAATGCATGCTTAAGCGAGCGAAGATGAAAGATTAAGGTGTCCTCCCGCAAATACCACGATATGAGCAAATCAGGCGCAAAAATGGTTCCCTGAACCAGACCCAACCAAAAAGCCTGGTTTGGGACGAATTAAGGCCCAGCCATGTCAGCATAGGTCAACAGCAAGGAAGAGCAGCCTCAAATTGTGCGCCAAAGTCACCAAGTGCCAGCTACCAATGTTTCTTAATTTCACATCACCAAAAAATCAACGATTGGGTACCCACGTTCTCCTTACACAGCTGCAGCAACTAAATACGAAAGCCGCCTTCAATTACGTATCGTTTCATTTTGATGGCCATCACATAGCCACGGAATAACGTGCCCCACTCGAGTTCGGAGTTGGACGGCATCGCAGTCGTTGACAGATGTCGGCTCATCAGCCGCCTGCCTCCGTAAATGTCACCGGAACGGCTGCAGCCCCCTGGTCACGACGTCGCCATCGATCACCGGCTGGCGGCCAGGCCCACGAGGCCCCTGACTGATGAGATGTTCCCTTGTGACCCTGCCGTCCGGACCGGCCGAGCGCCGGCCAGCAGCTGTCGGGCCGGGTCGGACCGGGCCCGCGACAACGCTCACTCCACCTGCGGGCCTCTGCGGACGGGCCGGCTGATGATGGCGGCCGCGTCACGGAGGCTGAGCTACGAGGCCCACAGGGCATTTTGATCAGCGGCGAGACTTTTCATACGGCGAGGCGGGTCGGGTCGGGTCGCAGCCCGGGTCGCAGCCCGGCTGCTGCGCGGGAGCAGCGGCGCGCCGTGCGACCGCCCGCTCGAGACGGGATGACTTCGGCAGGCGTGCGACGGAGCCCGGCCCAGGTGATGAGGATGACGAGCTGGGGTTTAGGACGCGTCCACTGCGTGGCTTATACGGCGTCCGGGGACCCGGCTCCGGAGGTCCGTTTCGTGACGTTGTGGTCAGGATAAGCCTTGGGGTAGGATAAGCCTCAAATAACTGGTGTTTGAGTTTGTGATATGTATGTTTCAGGATGCTTCCGTGGCTGGTATTAGCGCTGGGTGATTCGATATTATGGCAGGACTTACGTTTGCGGTTGGCTTTCGGATCGTAGTTGCAGCAAAAGGCGTAGATGGGGTTGCCGTCACGCATGAAGACAGGCCACAGCTGGGGTCAGGTGCGCAAAACAGACCCGGTGACATCCATTACAGCTCTGGAACCATGCTGCCTACAGCCACAGTTGATGAGCAGCCGTAATGCATCAGATAGCGCGGCAGTGGTCCGCTCCACCATCGGACCGCGTCGGCAGTGGTCCGGTCCACCATCGGACCGCGTCGGCAGTGGTCCGGTCCATCATCGGACCGCGTCGGCAGTGGTTCGCTCCACCATCGGACCGCGTCGGCAGTGGTCCGCTCCACCATCGGACCACGTCGGCAGTGGTCCGCTCCATCATCGGACCGCGTCGGCAGTGGTCCGCTCCACCATCGGACCACGTCGGCAGTGGTCCGCTCCACCATCGGACCGCGTCGGCAGTGGTCCGCTCCACCATCGGACCGCGTCGGCAGTGGTCCGGTCCACCATCGCACCGCGTCGGCAGTGGTCCGCTCCACCATCGGACCGCGTCGGCAGTGGTCCGCCCCACCATCGGACTGCGTCGGCAGTGGTCCGCTCCGCCTTCCACGTCGCAGCAGGCGATAACAACAATTTACTACCGGGCTTCCGGAGAGCGTTTAAACAGCGAGAAATTGCAAACTTGTTACGAAAACACCGCTGTACACGCTCCCCTTCATCCGCACTGCCCACCGTTTGAAGCCGAATGGAGCGCATGCCATGCATACGTGACACCGCAGTGTTTCGCAGTGCTCTGCGTTTGCGGAACCTTAGGAATGGAAAAACGTGATCAAGGTGGGGCGGAGGGCTTTCATTCCTGACTTCGTAACCGGGCGGAAATGTCCGGTCCGAATACCTGGCAGGCCATTAGCAAATAGCGCGATACCATGAAAGCGTGTAGAAGGGAAGCTACTTAATTAAATGCTGCGGATCGGGCGTAGCGAGAATAAAGAAAGAGGCCCACAATCTGCCAGGTTTCAGCAATACAATATATGAGCAAAAACTTTACCAAGATAAAATATGTTAATGGCTCTGGGCCACGTGGCTGGCCGTTAAACCTCGCCGGGCCGGGTGGAGCCTCGTAACACCCTGACCCTCCCCCCCCCCCCCCGCCATGCTGAGCCGGACCACGCAATAACACACTAGCTTGGTTTGGTTGCTTGGATTAGAGCTAGATAATATAGCCCTTTTGGATTAGAGACAAGATAATTAAGCCTTTTCGACCGGAAAGGATCATTTCAGGCCTATGGGATGAAGGATAATGGTTAACAGTGGGGCAGGCTTACATGCGCCTGGGGGCCAACCGCCGAGCTTTGACCCGCGCATGTGCGCTGGGTGCTTGGTCGGGGTCCCCACTCCCACGGGGCCTCTCCGCCCACTCATGGCTGACGCATACAGCCTGCCCCGGACAAGCGGGTTGTCGCGAGGATGCAGGATGAGGCAAGATAAGACAAGTCGGAAGATAAAACAGCCGGATGAACACGCTAGCCCCAATGTCAAAAACATTGGAGGGGGCTAGAACAATGCGGGTGGCCCTCTCCCATTCAAATATGGGTTCTGGTCGTCCACCCAATACTTCTCGTGAAGCTCCGCCCGTGCTGAGTAGCCAGTACATTTGGGCATCGAAGGCTTTGAAGTACCAAACGTACTCAGCCTAGGACACTGCTTTCGATCTTTCTGTTTCCATTTCCCAGTGAACATTGATTGAATAGTGATTTGAACCGGAGTCACACCAAAAATAAAGCTCGATCAACATCAGCCCTCCATCCTGTCACGATCTCATTTTTCGCTGTTGGCATTTTTGACATCGTTGGCTCTGTGCTGTGCAATTGACGCCAATGCATGTGACAGCATCGCCTTCCAGTTAGCTCTTACCTGTTGATGCTGTTTGCACGGCCAGCTTTATTGCCGCAGATATGGCTTGGCCGTATCGCAATTTCCCCTGGCATCCTCAAATTCCCCCTTAGGGAGTGTTCCCCCTCCCCAGTTGGGAACGCCTGACCTAGGGCGATGGAAGCAGTGTGACAGAGCCGAGATGCCCCTCGTTAATTTAGTTTCATCACAGCCCGTCCCCGGAATCACCACATCGCATCGCTGGCATGAATACGTGAGTTTCTCATCCTCGCATTTTTCAAGGGCATTTACTTTACGTAGTAATAAAATGACCTGAGGTCCAAAATTGCCCCCCCCCCCCCCTCAGAAGTCTTTGGGCCTCAAGACGACTAGGCACAGCCGCAAGTGACAGTAAAGGGCCCATGAGTATACAAAAATCGTTTTTCGCTGATTGAGTGGAGATGGAGGAGGTTTTTAGGCTCACTTTAAAGTTCATCAAGAGGTCATGAGCGCTAGCCGGGACCTTACATGTTCATTCACCGGGGCAATCTGGTCGCTAACTCTCGATTCTCGGCAATCTGGTCGCTCTCGATTTCTTTGTATTTGCTCGAAGAGACCGCTGCTGCTATCGCTGGCCCGGTATGCTAGCCTGTCGGGGCACTCTTGATCGATTCGGGGCCTTCCACTTCACCCCATTCGCCCCAAAGACTCTATACGCTATCGCCGGAGGTCCCACGTGTTAACCTGCCGGGTTACTCTCGGCTGCTCAGGAGCCCCTCACGTTGGTCTCGCGTTCTTTCCAGTTGCCCGGACGGTCCTGCACTGTTTCTGGGGGCCTTTTCATTGACCTGCCGCGACACCCTCAATCGTTTAGGTGCCGTCCCTATCGATCCTGGTTTTTTCCATTTTGTTGGAGCGCCTACACCATGAACGTATAACATACTTGTATAGGTCGCTGGCCTACGCTGTTGATGGGGACCTAAATGTTAGCCGGCCGGGACATTCACTCGATCGCTCCGGGCCCTCCATGTTGGTTTTGGGCCCTACCGATTAAGTCAGGACTTAACGCTGTTGCCGAAAGTCAGACACGTGCTCGCAAGCGTCAGCACCTCCGTCACTCATAACGCTTTCCTTGCTCGTATGCACGAACCTAGCTAAATTAATTTACATACACGGGTTCGAGATCTACTCGATAACGATTTTTCTCGGCGCTATAACCACAGAGAGCAAGCAGCAGCTAGGTATGTTCCGATGAATTAGTACGGGTTAGTGCCGGAGATTATTTTACGCGCCACCGCCGTTGTATTTGTTATTTCCGTCGGCTATTGAATTCGCAAAACACCCCGTATACTTGTGCATCATGTTCATAGCGCACATTGAATGCTAGCATATGCTGCACTAATTCAACACAGCCAAAACAAGAACTCTGCACAGCTCATTGCCCATTAGTTGATCACATCGACCAGCCGCTAGCCGTAACCAACATTGGAATAGTGTCGTGCATACATATCACGACTAGTTTTCTTGTGTTGCGCTTAGGGACACGCATTCTGAATAAAACATACATAAGAATTTTGAAATTCAATGTCCGTAAATTCAATGGCCGTAATCGGGGGGCTTTTTAAGAGGGCACCGAACTCCATGGGGGCGGGGGGGGGGGGCGGCACAATGATGTGTGCCTCTCCCCTGACGCATCCCACGTGTTTCGCCGTAAGAAGAATTCCTCAAGTTCAATTTACTTGGGTATATGAAGAATTACTTACGCCACGGCTAAGAACCTGTTATCTGCTCAATTCACTACGCCCAGTTGCCTCGCCTCTACCCCTTCCTTGCGTAGCTCACCTCGGATTCTCCGAGGGGCGAGGCCAGACCGGTGGATGAGAGCGGGGAGCCCTCCAGCTCGGAGAGGAAGATTGGCGTTGGTGGCGGCGTGTCCAGCGGCTCTAGGTCAGCCAGCGGGCAGCCGCCCTTCGGCAGCTCGTCTAAGAAGCTGGCCCCCATCTCCGCGTCCATATCCTCCAGTGACATCACATCGCACATTGGCGATGGCTGGAAACGAACAGACGTTATTTGTAACTGAGGCCGCGAATAAACACAAGGAACGCTGCTTGACTCAAAGCCCTAGACCGAAAAAGACATGGTGTATGCACATCTGATTACCACATGTATCCCATAAAACAACGTTGGGTAGCACGTAAATCTATATACGTTCCCTATCACGGACAGCAATGCTGTGTATGCACACAATTTAGCGGGCACATTTAAATTGCACTATTAAATCCAACTGTCCAGGAATCTACCTATCTACTCAAACCTGGATAATGCTGGAGGCGCTGGAGACACAAGCTGATGGGCAGGGGCGTCACGGGCACAATACATGGTAGGGGCCCTGGCGAGGGAGTGGGGTGCGCCCCTTCTTTAGCCCCGGATTTTTGTCTTTCACCACAGACAGCTCCTAACAGAAAGAACACAATCGGAGCCATGCGTACACACCCAGCCCCCGATCCCTCCATTAAGGAAATTCTAGCTGCATGCCTGCCGTTCGACATAGGCCACACACCGGGAGTGCATCAAACTATTCGCAATTGGTTTATCTTAAGTTCCCACATGACCAACCTATTGTGGAATCCGCATGGCACGTAACACATACATTGCGGGTAGACACCTACACCCGACTAACGACATACTACGTATGACAAAACTCGTCTTTCACACAGACCTCATACGGGACGCTCTCCGTTAAGGTAGCCCAGGTGTTCTGGAAATTCGCAAGGATGGTAGATCCGTCGCTATCTCAGCACACGCACTAGGGATATTTCACACCTGACGCCGTCTAGACGCAATGCTGTCCGCGCCACAATGGAACACATGCGTCAACAATGAAAGCCGGTACATTCCTGTTTACTGTCTGCGCCGTCTGTCGACGTTCGTAAAACCTGCAGGGCTGCAACTCAGTTTGCGCTGCGCACCTCTGTTCGGGAGAAATTCATTGAGTGCCTGACTCACTGCCAGCTAGACAAACAACCCCACAGCCTTCCTTCACTGCGCTGTAGACCTGTTGTGCTAGTGTTTTTGTTCACCTTTCTGTTCTGTTCTTGGAGTTGCCTACCCTAAGCAGACTCGAACCCGTTAAAGAGGGGCAGCCGGCTGCTAAGAAGTTGACTAAACTTAAGTCAAAAGGGCGGTAGCAACGGCGTAGGCCCCCACAGGGCTCCTTTTGTCACTTTAAACAGGTTGCACTCTCTAATTCTACCCTCTCACCTCTTCAGTATAAATGAATATCCCATGCCCGAACCACACATCTCATCCCCACGACGACTTCATGTCCGGGGAAACCACCAAAGCTCTGGGGGCTACCACCCGAAGATTTCGACGTGCGTGTAAAGCTTTGCAAGACCAGGATTGGAGCTGCCGATAGGAAGGTGGGCAATCAAGTGGGCAGTCTTTCTCAGCCCTCATTAGGGACAGCCATGGACTGAAATGTGTCTTTCACGGGCTTCGAGCACAGCCAGAATACCTTTTGGAAACATCAATCCGCCGCACATCTAAAGCTGCATGCTAGGGATGAGTATTTGGTTTGGTTTGGGTATTGAGATGTTCTGGTAAATGCCCGCAAATGTTGTATGCGAATATTCATATGTCTTACGTAGCTACCAATGCATCTTCACTAACATGTCTGGCGAGGAAATATTCGCATGCAATGTCTTAATCAGGCTTGTGTTCGACTGAAGCTGAACCATGAATCAGCTCGTGAGTCTACAGTTTTGAGATGAGTCGCGAGCTGAGTCAGTTCACTAGGAAAAATGCCCCTGTGAGTCATTAGTTTAACCACATTATTTGCTATTTGCATGCGCTAAATCGTGAGCTGATCGTTTCATACAATGTTGTGTCATCGAGTCACATGACTCGACTGACAATGATAACATGAGGAAACATAGCAAGCCCATAACAAAGGAACGGACTACTTCAGAATGTTGAAATGATAAGCATTAGAGACGCATGTTTTCCGTCTGCCAATCCACTGATTTCTGATCTGCAATAACCCGGGGGGTTTTGGCTGAGTTATGCGCCAAACTTGGCGAGCTTTTGCGAGTCAAAAGCTTTAACAAGCAAAATAATGTACCTACTTTTGCTATTCCTTAAATTCTCAATGCCTTACAAAACCAGAGTGTGCTGTCACACACAAAACAATCTTGAGGCAAACACGCGCGTACCTAACCAGCATGCGACATTTGTTGTGAAGCTTTCTGCAAAATCAGCACAATGTTTTACCGTAATTTGTAAGCAGCAAGCACAACATTGTTGATCCTGCAGTTACATTTGCCAAATATCAGCTAGGGCCAGAGGATATTCCGTAATACAGACATCCTGCATTGTTACACCCTATGCTAAAATCAGTAAAATACTGTCGGCTGCCCACAAAATCCAGGGGATGGTTACATTTCACATTGCGAATTACCACAACCATGAACGAATTCATACCTGAACCGCTATTCAACATTCGTTGAACTGCTGTAAGTATGCTATCGCTGAGGCTTCATGAAATAAACAGAAATACTGGCATGGCGGTCCCCTCTCATCAAGGGCTGTATGTCGCGGAATGTGGCTTCCCAGCGATTGCATCAACAACTGTTTTCATGCAACACGCAACTTGCCAGTGAGAGTTTGGCCTCCAAATTAAGTCGACTTGGAATGCGGGAAAGTGGCGCACAGCACGCTAATCTCGCGGCGCGGAAAACTTTCGTGACTCCTCCCTTCATCGAGTGACCCGATAAGATGAGTTTAAGGTATCCTGGCAGAGAAGACAGTCGGCGCCTGAGATAGTTTATTTCTAGTTCAGTTGTTCAGTTCAAATCAGTTCAGTTCAGTTCAGTTCAGCTCAGTCTAGTTTAGTTTAGTTTAGTTCAGTTCAGTTCAGTTCAGTTCAGTTCAGTTCAGTTCAGTTCAGTTCAGTTCAGTACGGTCCAGTTCGGTTCAGCTCAGTTCAGTCCAGTTCCCTGCTGACCGCAAGACGGGGTTCGAGTGAAATGGATTTTTGCTGCACTCGTTTGTGATTTATGTTGTCATAATTCGTAACGCTTCTTGCTTATGTAGGGCGCGTGATTAAGGTGTTTGTAACTTACGGTAGTTGATGGTTATTGTAAGAACTGCAATCCGATGTTTAAATGTTAACATGCCGAACGCACTAGCCATGGCACGGAACGCACGGTATAGCTAGTGCGTGCGTGCGTGCGTGCGTGCGTGCGTGCGTGCGTGCGTGCGTGTGTGTGTGTGTGTGTGTGTGTGTGTGTGTGTGTGTGTGTGTGTGTGTGTGTGTGTGTGTGTGTGTGTGTGTGTGTGTGTGTGTGTGCGTGTGTGTGTGTGTGTGTGTGTGTGTGTGTTTAGTGAATGCTGCGCACTTTTGCACTTGCACTTTTGATGAGAAGTTCTACACACAGAGGGAAGGGTTGAGAATGGGTCTGCGCTTGGGTCCAACATTCGTTAACGTTTATATGCGTCGTTACGAAAAAACTTCGGTTTAGTTCCTGTCTGACCGAATTATTTTCTCTTTTTATCGTATATATGTTGATCACTGCTGTGTTTTTTTTTAGGATAAGTATCACGCTGTTTTATTCGGTAATTTCTTAAAAAGTGAGCATCCAAGCATTATATTTATGATGGAGGAGCATTCGGACGGCAAAATTTTCTTTCTGGACGTCCTCATCCACAAGCAAGGTGGTCGTTTACTTACTTTGTACTGAAATTCCACTTTCTGTGCGCTGAGCACGAGTCTTTCAGTTTTAATTCAGATTCATTCAAGCTTAGTCCACATGGAAGGCTATCTTTAGAGCAAGCTATCTCAGCTCTACTTATTAATAGTTCCATGCTGAAATAAAGAGACATTTCCGTAACAACGGTTTGCCCTTGACTATCACTCGTTTAATGATTTGTGGGCTCCTCTATTCAACGCACTTTTCCTCGGCTAGGCTTTTTGACGTTCTGAAATTCAAAAGTATTTTATTCTGCCGTATTTAGGCTAAGATTCTACAGGCCTAAAGGCCAGTTGATCAGACTCCTGTCAAAATTGTTTGCATTTTAAGATCCTAGGACTGCATTGGTGAATTCCTTCTCAGTAGGTTCTTTCTTAGAACATAACGATTAGTTATCTAAATACTGTCAATCGACTGCTGTTAACAAGTTTTTTGTGCCTCGCGTGGGGCATCCTACATAGGTTCCACCCTCCGGAGCTTGTGCAGTTGCATTCAGCAGCGGTTGGACAAATCTACCCGGACGGGAAAATTTCTTGCAAAACTCTCCCGCTCTCCACACGAGAACACGCATTTACATGCGACATCCCAGTTTTGGCTTCTAATTTTGGCACCTTGGGTAGGCATAGTCCTTGCTTGGTGTGCACACTTTACAGTTTTTATATATTTAAAAAATGTCCTGCGTCAAATCACATGACTTCATCGTATACATTAAAAATTGTGACAAAACGAAATACGCTTCTAGAAATAGGAGTTAAATTAGAATTGGTTGTATGTCATTGCATTAATAAATATACATACCAGCATCATCCATGTCAATCATTCATACCTGACCCTGTCTTCCAGGTCAGGGGACAGTCCATCCTATCCCAACAAAATTCTTGCGTGAGAAAAATATTTTTCACGCTTCCACGGGGCCTCACCGAACAAATTTTACAATGCTGAACCACCGTCACATCGGCAGGTCAACACTGCCACCAGTGCTTATACGATGTTACTAACACTCAACGGCCACTCGATCATATTCCCCTTTACAAGCCGAGCACATTCAACGTATTCCGTGCCTATAGTTTAAAGCTGGATTAGGGGTTGATTTGTACTTGCATGGCGCCTGTAACACGTATCTATAACCTATGAATATTCAGTGCGATATCATTAATTTCCCAGGTGCAACTGTAATTTTCGTACGCTCCTCTAAACAACCATCACGTGACATCACCACTTCTACTGTCGTTTTTGCAGTAGCTTTAAAAGGCAACTAGATACGGCCTTGCACTCTTG